GCGCATAGGTCGAGTAACTAATGAGCTAACTACATCCTTCAGTTAATGCGGGGCATGCTAACTCGTAGGCCGAGGTCAGCTGAAGAGTAAAATGTGTTGATGTTGTGTTGAGTGCGCGGCTGACTTCTCGATCTTGCGACTGCGGCTGAGGAAGGAACACGTCTCGACCTTTAGGTTCTAGAGCCTGAAGACAAGGCTGCTAACTTTGATAAGTTCACAAATCGTCGGCACCGGATTCGGTCACAATGATTATATTTGTAAGGGTATAAGCACGCCGAATCGACACCAAAGTAGAATGGCACATATACTCAAAACAAGTATATGTCTTGATGGTAAATGTGGTTCGACCGTCAGAATGCCGAACTCTAAAGCTTACTTGTGAGTATCTAATCATAAAACAACTCGGCGTTCAATATGCCGAGCCCTAGCAAACTATAACACCTTACCTCGCCAAAAAGGCTAATGAGATGACATCTGCCAATAAAGACCCGAAAGTCTTTCTCGATGGAGACTTGGATAGATAACCAGTCGATCTCGACGCAATGCTGTTTATCCAAACTGAAGGTGTTCCGCGATCGGCCGGTTTTATGGCGAAGGTGCTGTTTATCCAAACTGAAGGTATCATCGGTTGCCTTCACAGTGTTGTTTATCCAAACTGAAGATGTATTGGCGAAAAAAGAAAATAAAAATCTTAAGATGTTTGAGAGGTTTCGCGTAGAGCGAGGGTTTGCGTATGGCAGTTTGTATGTTGAATTGGAAAGCCTTCCGTTGCCATGGCATTTGTATTTATAGGACTGAAGAACTTGCTTTGCACGGTCAGATAATGTTGCAGAGTTTAATTGTAACTATAATTCCTGAAATTAATCCACGTCAAAAGGCAAGCATATCCTCAGATTGTAGTTCGTGACTTCTAAAATAAAGCCTATCTAGGCTTCCATATCACATCAGAAACCTAGCCCACCTAGGCTTCTAATCTCATAAAAAACCTCCATCAGAAGCCTTTTAAAACCATTCAATCACTTCCATCACCATAGCCTACCTAGGTTTCCTATGTCATCATTACAAACCTAGCTTTTCTAGGCTTGTCTCATCATCACCCAAAGCCATCACCTTTATTATGGCATGCATCATGACCCTATGAATGCATTTCAAATTCATTTTTAGCTTCCATGTACCGTCAGATATCCCAAATCAACTCGAACTGTGCTGCTTGCTTGGGATATAATTCACATCATATTTATCTGGTTGAAGAAGATGCTAGGATAATGCATATTAAAAGATAATTATTATGATAAAAATCATAATATTATCCTTTAATAATGACAATTATCTCAACTTTTCCATCTAACGATTGAGAGCTATACTCACTCAACGACCTTGATTGCACGGGCCGATGGTGTAAAATTGGGTCCAAGCAGAAAGCAAATCAATCCCACTAAGAAAATAATTGTTCGGTTAAGTGGGTAAAGTCCATTACTGTCCTATTACATAGTAATTGTTCGAGTGCATTTCTACCTTGTAAATGAAGTATTCGGGTAATTGGTATCAAAGATTTATACTTGAAAAAAAATAATAAAAAAATAATTTTATGTTTAATTTTGGATAGAATTTCTAACCAATCATGTTATGCCTTGTATCATTATTTGCGATTACAATTTTTGTAGATAGATTGTTGATTAAATTTTTAACCAATCTCAGAGTGCCTCATGTCATTCTATTGTAAAAAATTTATAAATAAATTTCTGATAAGATTTTCAACCAATAACGATGCGCTATGAGACATTATTAGCTACATATTTCTTTCTTTTTTCACATCGGGACCAAAGACATGAAGCACGAGCATGGATGGGGCATGGGACTTCACGAGAGAGAGTGGATCCTACCATGTGATTGGAGGTTTTGGCACGGGTAATTTAGCCCCTCGCAAACCCTCAGATCCAAATTTTAAATACAAGATTTAAATTTGATAGCTTATGCGACAATTTGACGTTTTGTATAATTTTACGTTTCAACTGATATGTTAAATACGAATTTTGTTTCCTCTCTTGTTAAATACGAATTTCGTTTCCTCTCTTTTTGAGGTGTATTTATTGAACTAATAAATATTAAAAACTGATAGCCGAGATATTCTTATAGCTAGCCCAAAATTTAATATTGGAAGAAAGCCAATCTGTTAAAAAACCCAAAAGCTAAATTTGAAAGCAACGTCAAATTAGGCAGCAAGAGCCTAGGCGTTATTCCACGTCAGAAATGAAGCATCGGTTGGAGAAAGTTTTGTTACTTTTTTTAACTGTTGAATGTCTACTTGTAACTTTTGACGTCTTCTTTGGAGATGTTTTAAAATATGAAATATTATCCGTCATGTTGCAATTAGTAATTTTTTTAACAATCGATATTATCTATACTAAGGAGGGTGTGCGAGTGGGCCAAGCCTCACAATGAGCTAGCAATAATGTAGTTTAAATTCGCATTTGGCAAGAATTGAACCTACGACATCTCACCTACTAGTGAAAAGGAATACCACTAGACTGTAGTACTAAATTGTTGTAATTTGTATTTAACATAATGTGATTGTATAAATCCTAAATCGAGAAAATATAAGATCTTTCGGGATCTAGAAGATCTTTTCTATCAGACTATATATTACTTGGGGCATAATCAATCCTCTCTCACTTATTACTATAAATAAAAGCACTATGCATGAGGAATATCAATCACATAATTCATCATGCCCTTATTTCCTCTTTGTCGTTTCTCTCTCTAAATTTTAGGTCGCAACGCATCCATTTTTTTTTTCACGTTGACTATTAGTAACACTACGTTATGGTATTGTTGAGAACAAATCTCACATGTTTTATTCTTTGAACTTCCTTGATGCTCATCTTCCCACGAAACATGGCTGAAGCAGTTAAATACCGTCCATCGACGAAGTGGATCAGCTGCACACATCATGTTCTTTGCATCCCACATCTTATGTTTGCCAACTTCCTTGGTGCTCAACATCTCTCGTGAACCTAACTCCGTATAAGCTCATATAAAATTTGTGTTCCTATCAATATGAGATTCAGCTAGAACCTGCTATTTGCCACCACGTGTCTCACAAAAAATCTGAGTGTATGAAATATCTTCCATGTCCAAGACTAGATGGATTAAGCTATTTGTAAGCATGTCTTTCTCAACCAACAAATAATGAAATTTTAAATTCAGCTGAAACTAGATGGATTAAGCTGTTTGAAAAGGTAAATGTCGAGTACTGTACGCATTCATAATATTCAAGAGTTGCTAAGATGGAAAGTGATTGATTTTTGACAACGTAGATTGATTATCTCGGGTTGATTAGTCAAACATTGTAAATTGTTCATTAGTGATTTACTTCCTTATTTAGCTCTCAGTTAGCCTTGATTATAGGCAATAGAGTGAGATCATGATTTATCTTGTGTGTATAAGAATGTAACCTTGTTCTGTGAATAATGTAGAGAAGAAATTACACCACATCTAGTTTCTTTAGATGGTACCAGAGTGATCGAATTGGGACAAACACAAAACAAGAAATACAAACCCTAGCAACCATAGCCATGGGCGACAAACCAGACAAGTCAACCTCTTCAAGCATGACTTTGTATCAAAAGTGGGAAAACCCTAATCACCCACTCTACCTTCACCACTCGGATCAACCTGGTGCAATACTTGTGCCGTAGCTGCTTGTGGAAGATAACTATGGTACATGGGCTCAATCCATGACCATGGCCTTGATGGTCAAAAACAAATTAGGGCTCATTGATGGAACGATCAAGAAGCCAAGCGATGAACAGATTGAAGAACTACAACAATGGAACCGATGCATCAACCTGGTGAAAACGTGGCTGCTTAGTTCCATGTCCAATGAGATATCGGGAAGCGTCATACACTGCAAGGATGCACGGCAGATGTGGCTCGACCTGCAAGATAGGTTTTCTCATGTGAACATCGTTCAATTATTTCATATAGAGAACGAAATCCATGACTGTGTGCAAAGTAATATGACAGTAAGCTCTTATTTTACTAAACTTAAGAGTCTTTGGGATGAACGTGATGTCTTGTGTTCAATCCCGGCATGCCGTTGTGAGATGAAGAAAGAGATAGCGTCGTATGTCGAAACTCAGAAAACGATAAAGTTCCTCATGGGCTTGAATGACTCATATGCTACGGTTCGTAGCAACACTATATTGCTAGAGCCACTGCCCACAATAAACAAAGCATATGCACTTGTCCTTCGACATGAGAAACAAGCTGGAGTCTCGAGTGGAAAGAACATTATCCAACCAGAAGAAGCTTTGTTTGCTGTGAAGGGCGTTGGTCGAGAAACTAAGTCCGACGATGATGGGCAACGCTGTGGAAAGTGCTACAAGATAAACCACAATACAAAGATTTTTCGTGCTCATCTTAAATGCACTTTTTGTGGTGGGAAAGGTCACACCTTTGACTTCTGTCACAAGAGAAAAACAGCTGCTGAAAATGAGTCAAGTTGTTCCTTTTCTTCCAAAGGGAATCATGTTCCATCACATGACAAAAATGAGGTGATGCCTAGCTTTCCTTCTTCTCAGGAAGATTGTAGGAAAATTCTTCAAATGTTGAACAAAAACAAGTCTTCCTTTGCCAATCAAGTCGGTAATTCCTCACATGTTAAAGAGCTTTCAGGTAAAGCTTTCTCTTTTACATATAATGGCAAAAAAGATGTTTGGATCCTGGATAGTGGTGTTACGGACCACATTGTTTGTAGTCTTGATCTTCTCACGCATTCAAGGCCAGTTGCGAATCACATTGTTGAATTACCAAATGGTTCGTTTGCCAAAGTCACCCACATTGGACAAATAATCTTCTCACCCAATCTCATTCTTGATAATGTTTTATGCATACCACCTTTTAGGTTAAATTTGATATCCATTAGCAAGTTAGCATATGACTCATTCTACATCACCATTGTTTTAAACCATTACAGGACCTATGCTCAGGGAAGATGATTGGGACGGGCCTTGAACGGAATGAGCTCTACTGCCTTGACCTACCTAAGAAAGGAACATGCAATCACATTCAAGTCACTTCTCCTAACCTTTGGCATCAACACCTTTGACATCCCTCTCCAAAAGCTTTTTCGTTATTTCCTTTTTCCAATAATAAATCTTGTGCTTCCAATAATTGTTTGATTTGTCTATTAGCCAAACAAACCAGATTATGTTTACCATTGAGCTCAATTTCTATTAAATCATGTTCAAAGTTAATACATATTGATATTTGGGGTGGTTATCAGGTTACGTCTCTTTCAGGTGCCAAATATTTTCTCACTATTGTAGATAACCATACTAGGAGCACATGGGTTTATTTGATGAAGCATAAGTCATGTTTGTACCATACTTGACCAATCCCGAAACTACTGAGCACCGGTCAACGTTATATCGTTAAGGACCCAGAAGAGTTTCCCTCCAACCAGGAGGCCAATCATAGCGCAACATGTGTCGACATCAGAAGCCAATCACAACACGACACGTGTCAATGTCAAAATAAAGCTAGAAACTCTCTTATATAAAAGGAGATCATTCTCCCACAATATTTCCTAATGTCATTTGTACTAAATCATTCACTAGTACTCACTAAAGGAGAGCTTAAACCTATGTACTTGTGTGAACCCTTCACAATTAATGAGAACTCCTCTACTCCGTGGACGTAGCCAATCTGGGTGAACCACATACATCTTGTATTTGCTTCCCTGTCCTTATCCATTTACATACTTATCCACACTAATGACCAGAGCAATCTAGTGAAGGTCACAAACTTAACACTTTCTGTTGTACCAAAGTCCTCACTGATTTTGTGCATCAACAAGTCAGACACACGAGAACTTTTAGTCCAATTCATTCACATGGTTGAAACTCAATTCAATGCTAAGGTCAAAATAGTGCGAAGTGATAATGGTCCTGAATTTAAGCTTGAAAGTTTTTATGCTTTCAAAGGAATCTTACATCAATCTAGTTGTGTTAATACACCCTAGCAAAATGGTGTCGTCGAACGCAAACATCGGCACTTACTCAATGTGGCTAGAGCGTTACTCTTCCAAGCTTCACTTCTAAAATGTTTCTGGGGGGAATGCAATTCTTGCTTCGACCTACCTCATCAATAGGACACCAACTCCTCTTCTCCAAGGGAAAACACCATATGCAAAATTGTTTCACAAAGAACCCAACTATTCTCACTTAAGAGTCTTTGGCTGTTTATGTTTTGCATCCACTCATGCGCAACGACCCTCCAAATTTAATCCCCGTGATAGTCATTGTCTTTTCCTTGGCTACCCTTATGGTCAAAGGGTTATCGCCTAATTGATCTCACACTTAAGAAAGTTTTTATCTCACGGGATGTTGTGTTTTTTGAGGATAAATTCCCTTACCAAAATCATGATTTTTCCGCTGTGCCACACTCCACTTCACACCATCCCACTTCACCTCTACAATTTACCATGGACTCCTTTCTCGAGTCCTCTCATTCGATCAATCCCTCAGGAGACACTTCTCCTGATTCTCCTTGTCATTCTAGCACCACACCCCAGGAGCCTACTTCACCATCACAACCCTCCCTACCCTTCGTTCCTTCCCTCGACAACTCCCCTTCTTTAACCCTACTCAACCCTCCACCTTCACCTACCCAACGCCTCTCTGCTGCTTGTGTCTCTCCTCCACTCTGATGAGGCACACAACATACCAAAACATCCACTTTTTTTGCGGGACTTTCATGTTGAGGCATCCCTTCCTTCACGTGAGGCTTCCACATCTTCCACGAGCATGGTCAAGTCCTCACGTACTTCTCATTCTTTTTCTAATCATTTATCCTATGGTCTTTTGTCTTCTCGCCATAAAACCTTCACCACCACACTTACTCTTCTCAAAGAACCTACTAGTTTTCAACAGGTTGTTCAGGATCCAAAGTGGCGTGAGGCCATGCAACATGAAATTATCGCCCTTCAAGCCAACCACACTTGGAATCTCATGCCTTTGCCGCCCCACAAACGTCTCATTGGCTGCAAATGGGTCTACAAAGTGAAACTTAAACCTGATGGTAGTCTCGAACGGTACAATGCTCGGTTTGTTGCGAAAGGATATAGTCAAATCGAAAGTGTTAATTATTGGAAACCTTTGCATCGGTTGCCAAACTGACCACTGTTCGTGTCCTTCTTAGTGTTGCTTCGTTGCAAGGTTGGCATTTGCACCAACTTGATGTGAACAATGCGTTCTTGCATGGTGATTTATATGAAGATATCTATATGTCCTTGCCTCCTGGATTTGGACGAAAGGGGGAGACTCGAGTATGCAAATTAAACAAATCCATTTATGGTTTAAAACAAGCCTCAAGACAATGGTTTATCAAACTATCCAATGCTCTCAAGGCTGCTAAATTTCATCAATCATGGTCTGACTACTCATTATTCGTTTGAAGTCGTCAAGATAGTTTCATAGCATTATTAGTCATGTTTATGATGTGATACTCACAGGAAATAATTTACAAGAGATAAAAGAGACCAAGCAATTTCTTTCCTTATGTTTCAAACTAAAGGATTTGGGGCAACTCAAATACTTCTTGGGGATAGAAGTTGCAAGATCAAAGAAGGGAATCACTTTATGCCAACGCAAATATGCATTGGAAATATTAGAAGATACTGGGTTCCTTGGTGCCAAACCCTCACAGGTTCCTTTGGAACAAAATCAGTCTCTCACACAAACAGATGGGAAATTACTAAGTGATCCATCTTTGTATAGGCGACTCGTGGGCAGATTAATTTATTTGACCATCACAAGGCCTAATCTAACTTTTGCAGTTCATGTATTGAGTCAGTTCATGGATAAACCACGGCAACCACATCTTGACGCAGCACACAAAGTTCTCAGATACATCAAACAAGCTACTGGACAAGGAATATTTCTCCTTTCCATAGGTTCATTGCAATTACAAGCGTTTTGTGATGTTGATTGGGCACGATGTAAGGACACGAGAAGATCGATAACTGGTTATTGCATCTTACTTGGTTAAGCACCAATCTCTTGGAAAACAAAGAAACAAAGCACTGTGTCTCGTTCCAGTGCAGAGACAAAGTATCGTTCTATGGCCACTACATGCTGTGAAGTCACATGGTTAAAGAACATTTTGAAAGATTTGGGAATAAACCATGCTCAACCAGTTACGTTATTTTGTGACAATCAAGCTGCTTTGCACATCTCTTCAAATCCGGTATTTCATGAACGAACAAAGCACATAGAGATAGACTGCCATGTAGTGTGTGAGAAGATTCAAGAAGGGATGGTGCGAATAGCCTATATACAAACAACAAACCAGCCAGCTGACTTGTTTACCAAAGCACTGGGTTCGGTTCAATTTGAAGCATTACTTAACAAGTTGGGTGTAATCAATATACACTCCAACTTGAGGGGGAGTGTTGAAGAGGATATCTCGGGTTGATTAGTCAAACATTGTAAATTGTTCATTAGTGATTTATTTCCTTATTTAGCTCCTAGTTAGCCTTGATTATAGGCAATAGAGTGGGATCGTGATTTATATTGTGTGTATAAGAATGTAACCTTGTTCTGTGAATAATGTAGAAAAGAAATTACACCACATCTAGGTTTTCATTAAGCAATAATTTTTTCTAATGTTCATACTAATGAATTCTACGCTACTTCTTAGTAAAATATTAATTTGAGTTTTATATTTTAAAATAGAGAAAATTTAAGAATTCGTGTTTGAAGTTTAGCTCAATTGGAGCATTAGGTGCGGACTAAAAAAATCATGAGTATTGATTCATAAATTTGTCACAATGAGAAATGGTTATATTGATTAACACCGGTAAAAGTTTTATAAACAATAAAGACTTTAAAGGAGCCAAAAAGAGATAGAACTGTCAATGGGTTATCTAAAAGAACCATTGATACAAATTGTAATAAGTTCAGGTACCAATACTTATAGATTTTTAGTTAAGGAACAAGCTCTTATCTGATTGAAGTGTGGGGATCATTACTCCAATTAACTCTTTAAATTAAAAGTAAATTTAATCAATAACTGAGAACGACAATCAAACAACATAACATTTTGAAGATATTTCTCATTTACAATCAATTTTAAGTACTTAGACTTAAAAGCTATTATGACTTTTTTGAGTTAGGTATAATTCGAACACATGAACTTTAACATCTCCAATTTGCCCTTCTTTAAGTTTTAAAGGAAATCAACCTGTGGTGGCCTCTTTTCTCTCACTCTCATGCTGATGTACCAAGATTGTTGTTAAATAGTGCACCTCCACACGAAGTGGCCATATTAGGTGACATGGAAACGCGTAGATCGTTACGCTCACATATAAAGAGTATGCTCTCATACTGTATTAGAATATGAGCATCTATTTCAGAACCGCTTAACAATAGAAGGGAGTGATCCAAAATTATTTAAACTATTAGGCAAGCTATTCACGTATGTGCCCAAAGGCAAGCTTAACACATGGATAAAAAGATAGGAAAACTAATGAAAAAGGCTTGAAAACTTTGAGTTTTAATGATAAGGACAAAATAAAGGGTAAAGTGAATAGTACCAGGATTGACTTTTTAGTGTAAAAATGTGGTTTTTCGTTAAAGTGAACAGTACCGGGTGCTTTTCGTTAAAGTTATATAGCGTTTTTCTAGTGAAGGATTCATACTCTCAACAAAAATAGATATTTTTTTATTTATATCTTCTCCTTTTTTTTTTTTTTGTCGAAAGAAAGATTTTATTAAAACTCGAATAGAAACATTTACATTAGAAGCCAAAGTGATGAACAACCACTCTGACTCAAACGAATCCATGTATGAAATCCTCGCATATGTAAGACAAAGGACGCCACTAGATGTGTTGCCCAATTACAGACTCGAGAAGCAAAAATAAAATCTACTGACCTCAAGTGCATTTGTATACGTTTAATATCAAATAGAAGACCTATCTTTTTTTATATAAAAAG